AATAGTCCATAAAGTAACACATCCATTTAGCTCCTATTTATCAATCGATTAATAAAAGATCTTCATATAAATTGTGTCAAATTCCAATTAAGACATTTCGATCAGAAATTCCCAAATTGATAAGAATCCCCAAAGCCATACAAAATAAATTGACAGCATAGAGTGTCTAAATTATGAATGAATAACAACTTATCGTACACACTGATCACATTAATACATTTTTTTAGCAGCAATGAACTAAAAATATTCATAATATAACATTTTATCGAACCAGAAGTGCTCTCAATCATACATAAAATTTTATGTACATATAACTTACCATACATTGAATAATCAACTGAAAGTAATCAAAGTTTTTAAGAAAAAAACAGCACAGAAGGAAGAAAAAAAAATCGTTTCCAAATCACCGAAAAGAAACAATTTTTTTTAACAATGAATGGAATAAAAATTGAATGTAGTAGTTCGATATACATATATATCCATATAAATAATAAGAAAAAATGATCTTTTTTGAAAGTTTGTTTCCATCATTATCTTTACATATTATTTCACTTTTTCGAGGTCCAAAACGAGAGAAAAAAAAATTTGGATAAATACACGAGAAACAAAAATTATCGCGCACTTAAAATCTATCGCTCTTGTGAAATTAAAGTTGGCTTTTTTCGGCAATAGAGACTGCCTTGTGAGAGCAGTAAGGCCTTAGTAGAATAATGTAGTGAGAAATAAAAACAATAGGGGGTTATTCAGCAGTGACATCCAAAAAATTTTATAGGGTCTGAATCTATGTGAGACTAAATTGATTTTATTGTAGAATAATGCTTTTGATTCAAAAATTTCATTAGACAAATAGACATCATTTTTAAACGACCCTATAAGACTAAGTAATAAAAATTGCGTAATGCCATTTTGATTTCTTTGCATTTTCTTAATCTCGTGAAAGAAAAAATTAATCTCGTAGTAAAATTTTAAAAATGATTAGAAATTATGTCCATTATGAAGCGTCTCTCTTATACGCTGAAGGAAATTGATGGTAATTTCCTACAAACCTAAAATTTTTCTAATTTCCATCTTCAATCATATTCTACGCAATCACGACTGATATTATTTTATTTTATTTTCGTGGGTTTCTTCACCCTATCAAAAAAAAGATACACTCATAGTAGTGATTTAATCATCAATCACCAAATATTTTTCTAGATGATGATGATGATGAACGGCATCATGGAAATGAGAATAGATATACAGAAAAATAAACGATCTTAATCAAACATTGAGGAATAAGAAGAAGGAAAGAATGAAAAGAAATTTTTTCTTGTGTTAAGAAGTTGTTTGTTAAAAGTCTCTCGCTCTCTCTCACTCCTCAAATTCATTTCTCCTCCACAATAATGATAATAATAATATGTGTCTATGGATATAAAAAAAAAAATCATATTCTACGGTTTTTCTTTTATAATTTTATTAATTTTCTTTCATGATTATAGAGTTCTTTCAGGCATTATATTCTGTATTATCACAGAGAATGGGTGAAGGGAATTGAAAGACATAAAAATAACAAAAATGAGATCAGTAATACAATGAATGGAAGGATTGAGTTGACTATTGTTGGTTATTGATGGTGTCGACGCAGATTTTTCAATGTTATCGGGTTTGTTTTTCTGATTTGATTCAATTAACGGTCAATATTTAAATTTAAAACCCTTCAAAAGTCGAAGAATTAAGATTAAAACCTCTCAACAGATATTCAATTTTAAATAATTTTATAACGATATTTACCAATTAAATTAAAAACTCGACAAATGTCAAAATATGACGACAAGTTTTGAACCCCAAAAATAATTCAATTACTGTTGCTAACTACAATTTTCAGTATGAATGTTTTTCACAAAAACAGACCCAAGAAAAACAGCAACTTAAAGGATTAAATTCAAAGACTTGTCAGTCAAAATGACACATTTCATGTCGTTTCCTCTAAAGTAAATAAGCTAAAAATATATGTGCAAGTAAAGAGAAAAATATATTATAAAAAAAGAAGAAATTACTTACTATAAAGAGTTTTGTGCATTGTTCACATTCTGATATTTCAGTCTTTGCATTATCATCATAATCTGCCTTTCTATATCGTTCCCATACACACATGCATAATTTTTTTTTTTTTTTTGGTTATCGGATGGAACCAGAAAACAAATTTTTGTTAACTTTATACTCACCGTCCGTACATGAGAAGAAGATGAAAATGTGTTTTCATTCTCCGGGACTTAAGATTAATCGATTTCTTCTTTACGGCTTGTATTTCATGAAGCGCTTACGGAATGTTTTCTTAAGAAATTCTAAAAATAAGAACAGTGCACGAGGAGAGACTTACTGCGTGTATATGTGTGTTACTTATGGACCAAAATTATTCTCCTCTCTGGAGAGATCCGCTGGCCTAATGATAAGTAATTTAATTTTGATGACTGGCACTGTAATAAAGATTAAAATCTCAGTTAAACTTTATTGCCATGCGAAGGCTTCCCACCACCAAAAAAATTAAATAAATCGAAGAATTGCTTTGCTTTATTGTGCACAATACACAACACACACCATCAATGACGTAATCCGCACATTAACCCCTCCGTCAATAATCTAATCTCCTCCTTTTTTGCTACGATTTGAATGAACTTGCGAAAATATAAAATAAAAATTATCCGTAAGCACGAAACCTTGAAGTTTCATTACCGAAATCAATAAACTCCACACAAAAATTTTTCGACCTTAACCAATTCGTATGAATTAAAGGAATATTAAAAAATAAAGAGTTATTTTCATTCAATCTGATTTGCTTTTGATTATACCAACATTCCAAACATTAATTTTTCTTCTTCACGATTCTCTCTTCAATGATCATTTATTTCTCTGATTACTCCATATTTTACGTTCCTTCTGGCTCTGCATGAGAATAATTTGTTTTTATTGGATTATTTTATTTGTCAGATAAGGTCGTTATCAGTGAATATATGCTTGATAAGAATAGCTCGGCCCACTTTCTACACCATTTTCTTTATTATTATAGTTTCGTTTATATATCGACAATATGTTACATATTTTTACTATCAAACATTACTTTAGAATATACATAAACTTTTATTAGATAGTTTTATGAACGGAGGGTGAAAATTACTTCGAGAATCGGGATTGCCACGCATTTTTAAAAAATTATTACTTTGATAGTGCCAACTTTAAAAGTTAACTGTCGATTAGAATTCAATTTTTTTACAAAGATGCGAAAGTTGTTTACTAAAGGATGCAAAAATAGTTTTAAGTGATTGCAAATCATTGGTTGAAGATGGAAAAGCATTTGCCTCAATATTCAAAAGGTGTAGTAATTTATCAGAAAGTTTAAGTAAATTTCCATGCTCGAAAACGATGAAATTGAGTCTAAAAGTTCATATTCCACTAATCTAGTCAGTCAAAGATCCAAAAAATAATCACTCCAACCTTCAAAAATCCGTCAAAATAGGAACAACAAACTAGAAAATAAGCAACATATGAGGAGCAACTACGAAGGAAGTAAAGTAAAGAAAAAATGTCTTAAACGATTTATCAGAAATTATCTTTTGATGATTTTTACGCCCATATGTTCTTAAAAGTAAGTAATAGAAAATAAAGAGCATGAAATAGTATTTGTGCCTTCGCATGGAGATAGATTAAAAATTCTTTTAATTAATTCAATCATCCCGAAAGCATACTTCAAGTGCTCTGTGATCTTCAATTGATCTTCACAGTACTCAATACTTGTATCTTTTATAATATCGTTTGCATGATTGTATGTGTTAGATATTTTATATTACTTCCATATAAGAATCTTCATAAAGATTTCATTTCATATTTATTTTTTTCTGAGAATCATTATCACTCGAAAAAAAATTTATAATCGTGCTTACTTACCATCGTCATGTACATCATGTTTATTTCATTACGTGTGTGTAAAAAAATAAGAGATGAGTGTGGATGTAGATGAGTTGATTATTCTTCAAAAAACATTACAGAGCGATTTTGATTAAAGGTGAATGTGATGGAATGGGAAATGGTTGTTGCTTAATGTGCCGTCGAAATTTTTCATTTCTTTTCTCTTCCATTATTATTTTGTATGTAATTTCCTCTTGTTGTTTAGATACCCTGAACTAAAAATCCAGAGACTCATCGCTCATTTCTCAAAATTGTCTTCGTCAGAAGAAGCCAAAAAGAGAAGGCAGAAAGAAATTTTTTTATATCTTACAAAAATGTTTATGTAGATAAATTTGTATCCATTATGAGAATGAGAATGAAATAGTGATAGTGTGGGAGCCGTGATAGAATTTTTTAATAATCATACTGATGATGATGATGACGATACTTAAAAAGATGATGAATAGAGTCTAGGAATGTAAATGATTCAGAAATCAATTGATTACGCGTTCGTACCTCTTTTGTTCTCATTTCCTTCGTTTACATTCAAAAGCATCTGATTATCGTTAATGCCAATGGTTAGAACAAGTCAGTCAATGATCATTTATTCACATATTTAAAGGAGATGAGAAATGTGTGTTCTTTTTTTGGAGTGCACTCGTTTATCATTCGCCTCACATATTCTCAGCGAAAAAAAGGCATTCTCTTTAACCCGAATTGCATAAATAAACAAAAAAAAAAATCATTGCACAAAAAGCACATATGGAAATCATCTCAAGGAATTTAGTTCACGAGATTTGTTTGCGTTTGCAATGTGCTTTATAGCAAGAAGTTCGCGGAAGTACAATGTTTGATGCTAATATTTTGTCATCTTGCTTATTAAATTATTTAAAATCTTCCAGGTTAATAATTAATGCAAAAAGTTTCGCATCTTTTTTACTGAACGCACTTTTGATGCGAAAACCTTGCATCTTTTATTGCTGAACATAGCCTAGATTTTTCTTATCAAAACAATGCGCTTCAATCCATAATCTCTTCTCTTACTTCCACACTTTATTCTTCTCTCCTCATTGCAGCGAGATCGTGCACATATCGCACTATGTAAATACAGTAAAAGTGCATTTGGCAAAGAAATGAGCCAAGAGATTTGCTAGTCTGATCATTTCGCATTGTGTACTACAAATTGTATACACCATATGCATCCATTATTTCAACAAATTTTCACGTATGACTACGTACATGCAAATCCTTTCTATATCTATCTGTCGAAATATATTCACGATGAAGAAAAATAAATTTTTTTTTCTTTGCTCATTATTCTCCATTTTTGCTTCCTTTACACAATTTGTTATTTATTTTATAAGCATTTTGTAGACAGACGTCTATTGCTAGGTTGTGTGTAAGATGACACTTCATCCCGCTCAATATATGGAAATTTAATCAGTGTCTTCTTAGAATGCGGGGTGAGGGAAGAAGAAGACTTATGCTAGGTCGCGTTATGCTGTGCAATATGATTTATTATCACATCATTTAAAACAAAAAAGCGAAGAGGGAATTGAAAACAACAAGAATTTTTGGAAATCCTTTGATGAATTTCGTTGGAATTATGCTGAACACACAGATGCGAAACTTTTAGCATCTTTTTTACTGAACACACTTGAGATGCGAAATCTTTTTGCATTCATCTCTTGCACAACTCTTAAAGATCAGGAATAGAAAAAAATTGAAGAAATTCGTTCAAAAAGAACGAGTCCTTACGAATGTCTGTAGGGAATTTTCTTCATACTTTTCTCTTCTATAATATAAATCACATCACGAATGCATTTTTATTTTTAACAACAAAAATTCTTCTTACCACTTCATATGTAGATATTATGGTTTTTCATTATTCATCTTTTATATTCATTCTTCTTGTTCTTTTCCTCCTTCAACTTCTACTGAATGATCGACTAAATGGTCTCGTTTTAAAAAGCGCGGCTCTGCTTGTGTGTGTGTGTGTGTGTGTTTTTGTGAGATATTGTACATAGACATTAATAGAGAAGAATATTACGGGGGCCTTGATATTTTTAGAATGAAAAAATGATTTCTCGCTCTTTTTACTGTATGTACCGTATGTGCTGTAAAGATGCTGTGATATCTCACATATGCACTTCTTTATCGCACTCATTAAAGTTGAGGGAGCGACGAAGGAAGAGAAGAAAAATTGTAAAATTATTATTGAAATTATTTTTGATGAAATGCGCGCAGTGCGGCACAAAGATAAATAAATATTTCGTTTTGAGTACGAGAGATAGGATGTAACTATATTTAAGTGAACGAACTGTAGTGCGATGATCACATGCAAAGAGACACATCTACACAAAAAAGACTCATGTGTCATGTCACACAAGAAATGAAGCATTAATAATAAAACTGAAAAATTTACATTTTTCGTGCAGTAGGTAGCAGGCGAACATAGGAATATAATGAAGTTTCAAAGACAAAATTGGAGCAGCGAATATATTGAAGATTGACGCACCATCGCGATGACAATGTGCAGTTCTATTCGCTGCTCTCAATTTTGATTGTCAGGCACGAAGTTTTGCAAAATCTACATAATATGTAACTAATAATAATAATAATAATATTCATGTGGCAAGTTGCTAATGTAACTAGAATGAAGGAGGAAAATAAATTCCACAGATTAAGCTGCTGCTGCTGCAAAGCACCAAAGATTTTTCGACTTTCGGTGCACCATACACAGAAAATAAACAACATTAATTGTTGATTGATGGATTTTCCATTTAAATTTTTTTCCCTCATTTTTAATGCCTTCTCATTGAGCACTAAGCAGCTAGTAGCATGCATGCTTCTCATTTGTTGTATGTGCAAGTGAAAGAAGCAAAAAAGTTATAATTGAATGCTCTTAAAATGCATAAAAGCGAAAATTTCATCACCTGGACGACGACGACTACCAGACAACGGAGCTACTGTTAGCTGAAATGGGAAGGCGAAAGAAATTAATAGCATTTTTTGTGTCGCATTGTAGCACCTTTGCATCAACATTAAATCAGCAGTAATTTATGCTGCCATTCAACATAAATCCAATTTTATATTTAAATTAAATATATTTTTATACATACAACCCAGCACCGTGTGCCTTTTTGTTCAACTTCTCGACACAATCCTCATCTCTCAAAGAGGCTGAGTGCAGTAGCTGCAAAAAAGTGAAGAAAAAAAAAGAATGAAGTAATGTTGCCTTTATAAAGCATAAATTATGTGCAAAACATGTGCTGAATATGCCTGCCTTTTCAATTTTTGCCTCCTCAATCTCAATCTCAACACGATATTGTGAAGTTATTTTGTGTGTAATTCCAGAAGACATCGTTATACATTTATTAAAAGGAATGAAAAAATTTAAATTAAATTAAAGAGACTTGGTTAATGGTGAGCACTGCGATGGAGATGGAAAAAAAATTATAATTAGATTTTGTTGCTTACTGGTCGCTCTTTTTTCATTTTGCTCTCCTTGACTCACTCATTTTCAATCTTTAGCAGCTTTTTTTCCTTTATTTCACTCGACTTCAAAGGCATCAAACGCCAGCTCTTTTTGCGAAATCTCGATTGCAAATCAAAATGCAATTAAAATTGAATTTCTCTTGTCCCGAGACGTTATTATATTCGACAACAAGTCGATTTTTAAAATCTATGTGATCATTATAGGGGCTGTTCACTTATTACGTAACGCGAAAAAATGACTTTTTAGACCCCCCCCCCTCGTAACAAAATTTGTATGAAAAAAAATTTCCTTGTTTGAACCGTAACAAAATCTTAGACCCCCCTCCCCCCCTAAAAGCGTTACGTAATAAGTGAATGGCCCCATAAGCTAAGAGAATTCTTTGACTTTATGAATGTTTATTAAAAACATGTAAAAAGCATGTAATTTCATGTTAGCAGTAATTTACAAATTTTATTGGTCAATTACTATTTAAGTTTTTTTTCTTCAAGATTTCGATTGATAAAATTTGTAATTTTTACTGGAATAGTTGCTTCGTTGGGCGTGACGGCTTGATTGAGATTGATGAGATGGATTTTTGGTATGGAAATTTTTTATATTAATGCAACAGACTTTTTGCATCAGCTGTTTTGCTTCTTTTTATTAGATTTGCATCGTTTTTACGGATCTTCTTTGCCTCATTAGTAAGTTTTCTTTAAGGTTTTGACTCACTTTTGGCATCTAGCTTTTGCATCATTTTTTGCTTCCCTAAAACAATTAACATTAGTTTTCGCTTCTCTAAGTCAAGTAGAAAAAAAAATTCTTTAGCATTTTATTCTACCTTTCGCATCTTTGAAGCAAGCATGTTTAATAAATTAAGACAAATAACCCAAAAATTGATTTTATATCATTTCAAATTTACCATAATTATCATTTTCACCCGAAAAGAAAACTTTCATATTAAGAAAAAGAACATAATTTGTGTAAAATTAAATTAATGATGATGACATAAATGAATCGAATGAGGAAAGTAAAAAGTATATTTCTCGCATAAAATAGGTAATCAATATTAACTGAGAAATAGTTTTCACTTAAATGTATTTTTAGCATCATAATCCAATTAATTTGCAGTCGAGCCACACAATGAGTGGTCCGTTGAGAAATCTCGCTTAATGATTAGTTTGCACAAGACGATATTAATTGAGATTTTTTTTTTCTTTCTTTCATTTGCACTTACAGTAGACCTCATAATCGCCTCTACTGCTAAGCTATTCTGCATTCCGCTCATTATTATTTACACTATTTATTAAAGATTGATATTTTTCCTCAAAAAATATTTTGAGTTTTGCTGTATTTTCTAATCCATTAAAAATTAAATTTTTGTTGATGGAAAATTGCCCGATTTTGGAGTAGGTATTGCGGAAAAATGTATTTTACGAATAATTAAATTTCTAAAAAAATTAATGCGCTTTATGGATTTCTTTATGTAATTTTTCAATTTCTTTAATAATCAGTTTTGATTGTTGCCAACATAATTAATATTGGTTTTATTTTCTCCGTCTCATTCACTTCTTTTCTATGTATGGACATAAAAAAGTAACATTTTAATGAAAAATTATCGAGCTTAATGCAAACATAACCTCGAAAAAAAAAGATGAACATTACCTAAAACACTGTTATAATAGCCCCATACCCACGTAGCCAAAATCGCCGTCAATGAAAAAATCGACTTAAATGTACAATTTTTCGGATGATCCAATAGACGTCGATTTTTCATCCATTACATTCGTTTTTCTTGAGCCGCTATATACTTCACAAGTGCAATCAGAAATCACTTATATAAGGCACAGCCAAGTTTTCATACAAAGTGTGATTAATTAATTAAATTAATTACATGCGAATTATTCATCTGAATGAAGACTTCGACTCTTTTTTTCAAAGACAAAATCCTTAATTAATTTTTTTTGGATTTTGTCTAAAAATTATAGTATAATTAACATAAAATATTTTCATACAAAAAAATTCAAAATTTTTCCGTTAATCGGTTTTTTTATTGTAACGGTCAAAAAAAATTTGATTTTGGTTCAAAAAAATAATCGACGTGAAATCGACGTAAAATCGACTAAAAATCGTCCCTTTTCATATTAGCATAATGTCCAATGTACGATACATGGAATGTACATATGGAACATACATGGAAGATTTTGATGTAATACATAAAATCTTCCATTCGTCGACTTATGGTTACGTGGGTAGTAAGTGATTGTAAATTAGCAACGTGTGCCTGCAAAAATAGAAGTCTATACACATGTTCGGACAGATTTTATAATGTAAAGATTGAAATCAATTTACGCAGCATTTTTTTCACTTTTTCTTTCAATTCCGTACACTTTTCATTAATGAAATAACACACAAGAAATCACTTTTTTCTGATATTAAAATTGCGCTTAGCCAAATTAAGAAGTCAATCGTAATTAAATGGATTTTTACTTCACGTCTACTGTAATTAAACAGTAATTTTGTGGAAATGAAAAGTTTTTCCTCTTTAAAATGATCAATTGATTGGCGATGGAAACAAATTTTTTTTTTTCAAGTGATTAATCTTTTCTTTCCGTATATTGCCGCAATCTATGAAATCCATTCATCACTATTCTTTTTCTTCCCTTTCTTGTTGTGTTG